TTCCAGCCTGTGATAGTATTCTCATGCGATGGGTTCTCATCATCTACATATTTGTTATATTTTACTGAAAGATAGGAGTCAATACATTGACTCCCACTCTCCGAGATCCATAAGAGGTTTTTGGGTTAGATCGCGTAAATATAAATGTGTCATTAAACTCGCCGCCACCACCCAACACAGCCAATTAGTAAGGTTTATCAAGTAAACAAAACGTGCCAATTCGTTACTAGTACAGCACACCGGTGTGATGGAAAGTAAACCAACAACATTTAGAATTCGAGCACGACATTTCACCAGTCATTACAACCAACATCATCAGGCGACAGCCAGATGTGGAGAAATTTAACGACACATTTATATTTTACGCAATCTAACTCAAAAACCTCTATTATGGATAATATTTGTCGCGAAAGCCTACGTGTTATACGTACTCCCAAGGGATACGAAAAAAATGTGGAGCATGCAGGGCGATTTGGTCGATGGTAATAATTAGGTCAACACGATCAGGCTACTACTCTGTTAGAGCATTCAGTAACGATGGAGGGAAGATGAAAGATGTAAACAAAATGAGATGGTGGGATGGGAATGAGAAGATTCAGAGGCAAGAGATTGCAAAGAGTGCAATTAATTGGGGGGAGGCTTTTGCACAACATACAGATGGGCAGGTAGTGTCCTCGCCATGCATGCAAAATGCTAGCAGTGGAAATGTTCTAACGTTGAAGCAGTTTGCATATGCCCTGCAAGCACAACTTAAAATGCGTGCTTAAGGCGAAATCTGGAGAAGTCGGCTCTGATACCGACAAGCAAACACAGCCTCCTCTCTGGGGAGCTCATTGCTGCAAGATCTGTTCATGCTTCAGCTTCATATATATCTATTCTTTCTTATATTTACTCAATCTATATTTATGATTTGCCAGAGGTGTTGACACATTCATTGTAGTCACAATGCAACAAAAACAATTATTACAAACAGATTCAACTTCTGCATGAATGTAATTTTCAATCGCTCTATGATGAAGGGTGATTGCCTGAAACGTCACCTTGTTGACAAATGTTTAGTTTCTTGTCATCACGAAAACACAACTTTGTTTTTATCACAACAGCTTTTGGGTTTCAGGAAGTTCACAAAATTCCTCAGGGGAACTGGAATTCACGTAATTGTCATTGAAACCAGCACGAAATTAAGGGTGAAAAGAACTTAAGCTATTCAATGCAATCAATGGTTTTCTTGTGCCACATTCCCATGACCACTGGCTAGTAGGCTGGTGCAGTTGACAACATGGATATCATAAAAAAATGGGTCCGGCCTGTATTCCCACAGTAGCCTTAACAGGTCAGCCCAGCACCAACTGGGCTACATGGCTCACTTTAACCACACTGATTAGCTCTCGTTTATAAGGGAGATACCACGTGGTCACCAACGCCACCCTCACAACCAATCGTGACATGACGAGACCAAACGCAGAGACGGTGCTAATGGTCAGTAATGTTTTTGTAAAAAAAAAATCTTTACAAACAATCTAACCCAAGCATAAATTAAACTTTGTTAAACATTTGATAAAATGTAAAACATAATCATTACATTGGTGAGGGTTATTATTATTTTGCACTGAAATAGGAATCGCATCTTAAAGAGAGGGACCTTGCCTAAAGCATCTGGCAGTTGGTTCAAGCAAGCCTGACGCAATGTTGAAACCGGTCCAGAGCTTGCTTGTTTTGAATCGATGCTGCTGAAATTATGCACTCCAAGGCTGTGAGGCCGACGGTTGTGGAAAAATACATTAAAACAATTTATGTGGAGAGATATATAAGGAGTTGTATTGTCTGCTATTAAACGTACGGGGCAGAGTGCAAGGGTCTGAGTCCACAGAGGCGTGGACGGCTCATTAAGTGGCAGGGACAAACATTGACCCGCTTGTCTCTTCTTGAAATGGCCCAGCACGGTTCGAGCCTGCTTTCCCAATTGCTGTGATAACATGGCATGAGAAGCAATGCAGCCTTGACTATTATCCCTATCAGAGTAAATCCAAGAGCGGGCTATTTTTTGCACTTCGATTGCGCTATTGATTGCTGCCGTAGGTTTTAATTGGGTTCATAAGCTATTTTGTTTAGAATTCTTTGTACTTCAGCGTTGTTGAAATGTTAACTCCCTCACCTGGTATGAAGGAGCTCGTGGATTTCATCCCGACCATGACGGCCGTATATATTTGGAGGTTGCATGTTCTCTCCGTGGTCGTGCGAATTTTTCTCTGGGTCCTATGGTTTTTCCCCACCACATTTAGAATCATGCGTTTAGCGTATTTGGCTGCTTTAAATTTCCACAAGCCACTTCGTTGAGCTTTATTTGTGGCCAGGTCGCTTCTGAAAAAGCGCTATATAGTTCAGTGGGTTTAACCTGGTAAAATAAAACATAGTTTAGTAAGTTTCGTTTAAAAGGGATTTTGGACACAAAACGGATCGAAGCAGCTGCTGCCACCTATATTAAGAGCTGACAATCGATTTGACGGCAATTTACTCAAACGCGGCCGCGTTGTAAAAAAAGTTCAGTCCAAGACTGACTCTTGCGGGCAAACACTTCCCAACTTCTCAATTTTCTTGTGAGAAGCAGCAACAGCTTCCCTAATCGACAGCAGGGTCGCTACTGTTGCAGCCCCCGGCTAAACCCTGGACTTGGTTCTGACACCGTGCGGGACTCGGTTCTAACCCAGTGCAAACTGCGGGGCCACACACTGGGGTGGAGGCAAGCCCGAATACTTTCCACGGTTAGCGAAAGTGCTCTTGTAAAACCATGCAACTGCTGCGAGCCCGAGCTCTGCGCATTCCTGGAAAGCAGCTATAAATAGGCGGTGGCGATGATAATGGCGGCCATTAGACCTCCGCGAGCAACACGGCAGAGCAAACTTTTTCCAAAACCACAGTCCTATTTTTTTTCGCCGCTGCTGTCGAACGCGAGAAACAAAGAAACACGAGGAGCATAAAAGAAAGCCACGACCCCCGCTACGTCAAGCAAAGCAATGACCGAGAGTGTGTTCTACCCATCTGGCACTGCTCTTTATTCAATCCAGATCCTCAACATTTTTAAATGCCCAGTTTTCCCCAGGAATGATAAACCTCGTATTTCTCTTTGTCATTGGGGTTTAAAGGGCGCTACGGGGAGGAATGCAGCCCCTCCATGTTTCGTGGTACAAAAAAAATAAAAGAAACTGACCCAGATACTTCCACTTCTGGTTTTTTTTCCCTGTTTGTTTTTTTATTTAAACAAAGGTCGCCCCCGCAAGCATGGGCGTGGGGTTCACAGGTCAAAAGTTCAACCACAGCTAGCAGACAAACAAGGAGCTGAAGTCCGGCGTGGCATTTCACAAACACACGTTTAGCTGACTGTGCAGCGGCGTCGCGCGTCCTTGCAAACCTCCTCAAACATCAGCCTTTGTAAAGTTACACCGATCGCTGTCCGTGGCAACACGACGGAGCATCGGTTTTAAAAATTATAATTTCTGTTTTTGTCCGCAACTAGGGAAGGGGCGGTGGGGGTGGCGGAATGTACGGTTCAACCATAGACGCCAATAACAAGCAGCCGGGCGCGTGTTGCATTTTGCACGCTGCGTTTTCACCAAAACGCCCCTTTTCACGTTAAGCGCTCTCTGAGGCGATACAAACAGGACGATTATGAAACTACCGACGCAGAAACACAAGCTCTACATTCGACTACACCTTGCAGTTTAATCCACGTTGTTTTTCTCCAGTGCTCTGTTGAACAATGTTTTTTTCCACGAGGCATAATGGACACTGAGGGAGCGTCAACAAAAGGAAGGGTTTTTTTATTTTCATGACTGTGGGACAAGAGGCTGTGCGGCTACAACCAAAATGGCCCCGAGGGGGGTCTCGGTTTTGGGAGGGTGGGGGTGTGGGTGTGGGTGGGGGTGGGTGAGCGTGCGGGGAGGGGGCAGACAAGGGGTGGGCCTCCGACACACACAGGGGTACGACGTGAAGAGCCGCACGCACGCAGGCACTCGACAAACACCACCCTGGGATGCCACAGAGACCAGGACAAGAGGAAGGGGATGGGAAGAGGGCATCTGTGTTTACGGTTTTTGCCGTGGGAGTTGTTTGTGCTGTGTAACAATTCGTCCCTCCTGTCGCCACAGCGATTTTACAAAATATTGCTCTTTGGCGTTGCGATTCAATGCACGACTCAATTGGTTTTTTTCTCTAATTTTTACCAGGATCCTGGGATGACGTATTAATCAAAATTCTATTGTACAATTGTGATGCACTTTCTCGTGCTTCGAATGCACAGTTTTATCTTTGCATTTTTACAGTTGTGCCTGTATAGTTGTAGTCGCTCCATTGGCCTAAGTGCTAAATTAGCATATTATTTGCACTTGATTTGCATAAATCGTGAATAATGAATTTTCACATGAATGATTCAATACCTGTATCTTGAGCGTACGAACCAAAAAGCATCGTCACAACCATGCATGCACGAATGCTGCATTGTACAGAGGGGCTGGGTAAGTGAGTTAGCATGGAGGGAGAGAGGTGGGGCGGCTGCTGCGTTCAGGGAATGCTTCAGAATCTTGACAGGGGGCAGAAATAAACATTAAATTTTCCCTTAGGCATGGCGCATGGCGGGTGAGGCAGGGGTGCGGCAGGCAGAAGGGGAGGGAGGCAAAAGGAGAGGGAGGGAGTAGGGGAGGAGATGGTGGGGGAAGTCTGGCGGGGGAGGGGCGAGAGCACGGATGAGAGGAGGAGGGTCCCCTTGGGGTCGTCCATAATTACCATCATTTTCACGAGCTCACAAAGGCTATGCTGTGGAGGCAGGAGTGCAGGACGCCCCAGACATTTCTATAATCCGACCACGCGCAGAAAGAGATGACACGACCGACAACATTCTAACTAGCGGGCGGGAGGACAAGCAGGAGGAGCGGCGGCGGCGGCGAGTAGGCGGGTTCTCGGGAGGCGAGGAAAAGCTGACGCGGCGTCACGCTTTCACGACTCACCGGTGGGGAGGAAGAGCGTCTGGCCCTGCTTGAGGACGCACTTGTAGCACTTGTCCACCAGGTCACCGAAGAACACCTCGCTCTGGTTGGGCGATGAGCTCCAGCGCTCGTAGCGGGCCAGGTTGGCACTCGACGGCTTGATCAGGTAGAAGATCTTCTCGCCCTGCGCGCCGGGAGCCAATCGACAAATGAAAGCCCGTCAGCATGAAAAACCAGAAGGTTGGGTGGCTCAAAGCGCTGGTAGTCAGCATTAGGGATGTGCTCCAGGATTTCTAATTTATGGGAGGAAGTTCGGACGATTCACATATAATACTTTCTTTCTGACATCACGGGAAATGACATCACGTATTACATATATTCCATGATTTTCCAAACACAAGTGGTGTCTAATGACATCGGATGAGGTCACTTAGCGAACAAGTTCAATCATTATGTAACGTAAAGTATAAAATTAAAAAATCTGAATTTGTGAATAAAAATCTCAAATTATTAAATACAAAAGCCTGGCCAGCGTGTAAAAATTCATACCCCCACCAGAGATTTGATTAACGGATTTTTTTATTGGGCCAGTATTTCATAAATGTATAATAACCCACTCTGGTCATGAATCAGAAGAACAGCTGTTCACTTTCCACAATGTGACACTTGGCCACTAAGCCCAGTTTCCTATTACAAAACAATAACCAGTAAATTCAGAGCCATCTCTTGTTCCTCGAGGTGTAACGACTCGGCCCCAGCCACGCCGATTCCGTGACCTCTCCCGATCCCTTGGCCGCGATTCCTTTCAAGAATAAAAATCTTCGTCTCATTGTTACCATCTCGTTTGATTTGCCCGTGGCCCGACTGATACTACATGAGAAGAGTCCGCACCGCCGAGATACAGAGTTGAAATGCGGGTTTCAGCCACACATTATAAAAAAGCGAATTCAAGTGCAGCGGACTTGATTTTGTCTCAACTCGGTCGCCAACGATTGCACCCAAAATCAATCACGTTAAGTTTGTCACTTAATTCGGCTTACTACAGCTCCGAGGCTCAAACATATTAGTTTGAGTGCCACGAGACGAACATCTCGAAAGCAGGACACGGTGGGACAGGAAAGCACCCCAAGCGTAGACAGGAAACTACTGAATGGACCTCTTTAATAAGTATAAAAGTATAAAATCACTCACTCCCTAACGTAACGATTTAAATGCATATAGAATGTAAATGCACTCCCAAACAGAGAGCTCTATAACAAACAATTACAGGACTGACTGTATAAATTAGGCAATAGAGACGGTAAAAAGACACTACACATGAGACTGTACAGTGCAGTAAACATCAGGGGACGCTACAATTTCCGTGAAACTTTCAAATGTACATATTAGGGTACGATGCCGTTGACCCTACCGGAATATAATTTAGCTTCTGGCTGTCGGAATAAAAATCTTCATGAAAAAAACGTTCAAATATTGGTCAAGCAAGTTCTGGCATATCGTGAGAGATGGGACAGTGAAGGGACAACTTTACCAATTACTATGTAAAGAATTAACACTGCAGGCGTTGGCTCTTGCTGCAGCAAATCGCCCAAGAGGCATACACTGGGCCGGAGCTGGGACGATTAGGCCGAACCCTTACCTTGAGCAGATGGTACCACACGGAGGTGCCGCCAAAGTCGATGTGGAAGTCCGTGTAGCTGTCGCGCACGCCCATGAGGCAGTACTTCTGCACGTACGGCCGAGGGAATACCGCGTCCTCGGGCCAGTAGTTCTCCACCCATGAGAGCTTGTGTACAAGTTCGGGCGCTTTCACCAGATCCGACAGCCTGCGCGCGCGCGCGAACACACGCCGACAGCAGCAGCAGCAACCAAAAAACACAGATCTTTTATTTTTGTACAGAGTATACACACAATGTAACATGCATACTGGCCAAACATCCCAATTCTGTTAAAATACCTGCAAATTAATCAAATGGGATTACACGCAGTAACATTGCCCTCGACTGCATAAACTAGAAAGGACCCTCCTGAAAGTGGCTTGACTCGGTGAGGCTTTGCCGTGTAACCAAGCGGAATGATAATTGCCGTGTGTACGAGGGGGAGATACAGTGGCGCAATGGTTAGTACGCACCGCGCTACACACCGTGACCTGAGTTTGGTTCCTGGTAACGGCTAACATCAGTGACGAGTGACATCCGAACTGGTCCGCGGTACTCTCCCCTTAACCAACCCGCAATGATAAGTGTGAAGTATTGTCGAACAATCTCCATGGCTGACACGGCATGGGAAACGCGTTCATCCGGCAGTAGATTGACAAAGGGCAGTAAATTATAACATTGTTAGTTTGTCTGTCCAATGAGTTTACAACTCACTAATTGGAGGACAAGGCCAAACTTGAAAAAGCAGTGCCTACAGACCCAATGATGCCTCCTGGATAAGCAAATGACGCTGCTTTTGACGTGGAGACGCAGAAGAGGGGAGCACCTGGTGTCGGAGAACTCCAGGCTGATGATGTTGAGCACCTTCTGCCGCGACGTGCTGTTGTAATACTCGCAGAACTCCTTCATGGTCACCTTGAAATCCGCTTGCCGGTTCACGTCGATCACGTCAATCATCCGGTCCGAGCCTGCGCAACACGCAACGACGCACGGCACCAGTCAAGAGCGATCATCGGCTTATTCACCGACTCACTCAACAATTCACTTTCTTTACAACTCACTGAACGCCTGGAATCCAGCACTGTGGCGGCAAGGGTTGGTGGGATCACACATTTTATGAATCTCCCTTCCCATCGGTGTCAAGCCGCCATATGGCCGGCGCAACCAGGAGAAGGCGCAACAGATGTGGACTCCATCTGCTCCATCTGTATGGGATAGTGTGTTGCCCCCTTGCACATATGGGTTTTATCCAGGTGTTCTGGTCTTTTCCCACATGTAAAGACTCATATATAGAGGACTTGGGGGAGCCGGGGGTGTGAGGTGGCGGGTTTGGCGTCGGCTCTCTGCCTGGTTGCCTTCCTGCATGTCTGTGGTTGTTTGTGCCTCATAATCATTCTCTCTGAGGGTGTGCCAAGTGCAGTGTGTTACAAGTTGATATTATTAACCGATTCGCCAAATCTATTTCTCACTCATCCACTCACCCATATGCCATTGCTCTAAAACCCATGCCTTTCATCTCACCCCCGGGGTTCACTAACTGAAGTTTTTATGCTCATTATGCAGGCATAAATCCATGCAAGTACTAGTAAATTATGTTATCTTTTATGCGAATGATCCACTTACAATAATAAAAACAAAAGAGACAGAACATGATGAGACAAACAATACAAACGAGACCGTATAAACCAGAAGAAAATCAAACGAAGTCCAGAACCAAATCTTGACCCTGAATAGTGAATCATTGAATTGCTAGGAGGGCAGATGGGGGAGAATCATCATCGCATGTCTACTATCTTATGCAAACGTCCAAGGGTATCACTGGCTACGTCAAACATAGTCAAACATTTGATAACCAACCGCTAATAACACCCTCATCAAAGGCAACGTTAAACCAGCAGGCTGCACGCACACAAAGTCCAGACGCATGCACGTGTGCACAGGTGAGAGTCTAAGAGCCCCTCCTCCATCCTCACACACACCCTTTGACCAGCATGCGTGCTCAGGTGCATAAACGCTGGTTTAGTTTGTTGTGTTTAGTTTGTTGTCCTTGCCCACACCTCCGATTCGCATGGTTGGCTACATACGGTGGCCAAAGAAGTTCAACGTACATATATACACCCATGGTCAAAAATGCTAAATTAGAGGCACGCTCGGGGGCTCGGCCCCTTTTACACCATCACATCAGAAGCATACTGCTGCCGCTGCAGCCGTAAAGCACTTTATGAAGCTTAACACGTTAAGCAAATAATTAACTTCAAATAGTGCTCGACATTTACTACACCACAGCATGCACGAGAAGTTAAAAACATGTAGCCTATTCACAGATAGCCAAGTAAATGTTCAAAGATGAATGCTTATTTTTACTTAATTTGTTTGTATTTTCCCCCAATTGTACCCGTCAGATTTGTCACAACAGTGCAACCAAACGCAGTTGAAAACGCCCCAAAGAAGCAAATATCAGAGTGGAGATCCCTCCAAGGTGACCTCTGGTCAATACACCGTAGAGGGCACTTGCCAATCACACTGAAAATGAGAGTGAGGTTCGTGACGAGACCGATACTGTAATTCAGACAGCTAGACTTTAGCCAAAATAAATTCAGAATGAAACTCAATGTGATGAGGCTTTATTATAATTATCAGTCCGGTGACCGGGCTGAGATCATTGACTCACTACACTTGAGGAAGCTGCCTGGATGACAAGGACCTCACAGCAGTGCGAGCCCTGCACTCGGACCTCCGAGTCACCGGGTCAACCTCAAAGTTGAAAGTTGGAATGAAAATTTACTCCAGTTTTACAGAGACACCCTACACCCAGCTTGTACGGGGTTAAAGAGTGACATAGGCAAGGCATGGTCCTTCTCTCTACACTGCGGGCCCGGGGCTGCTCGTGGTTCTGCACTGAGTACCCATGAGAAATGAGAAGTATCCAGTGGACGGTGACACTGATTGTCAAAAAAATACTTTTCCTCTTTGCATTCAGCAGAAAAGTGCCTGAGGAAATAATGCCATTGCGAAGACTGACGTGTGGAAGCGGACATGCCATGTAGGAAAAAGCCCGTCACCACGGGTGCTGCGGGGTTGGGAGTGGAGGGTGCGCACATGTGGGCTGAAAAGGGAGAAAGGGAAGGAAGCTTCGGCAATGGGTGACAAAAACACGGCTGGGTCCGAGGTTCAACGGATCAAAGTCGAACACAGCACTGGAAAGCCAAACCACGCGCTGAGCCGACCGCCAACAAGAACATCCCTGATGCGCAGCAGCAGCTTTAGTGCGTGCAAGCATTACAGGTTTAGTGTGCTATCCATAACAGAGGCTCTAAGTGTTATAACACTTGTACAATTTCTCCTCGTGTCAACCCACGCTGGACGAAGGTCTTCCTGCTCTCGGACGCCTATGGGGATTATTTGACTACACTTTACCACGCTAGTCAGTGTGGGTTGGTAGAGAGGGGCGGGGTCCAGGCCTGGTTCAGAATTCACTAGCCACTTATGTTAGTCGTAGCCAGGAACCGAACTCAGGTTGCAGGGTTCACGGTGCAGCACACGAACCAAAGCACCGCTGGTTCCAACCTGAGAGATACTTAGAAAATGTAAGAACTTCAGTAAACAACCTTGAAAATGATATCAAGTTTAAGGTTGGAGCATTTTCCTGTTCAAACAAGAACAAAGCAGCAGCCATGCCTGTGCTGCAATCCTGAGTTTGTGGGTGGAAATATTACATTTTTCACTGATAGGCAGGCGTGAGTCTATCTATAGGAAAAAATCGCTATTGATTACCCAAAAAGTGGGGGTGATTTTATCAGCCCTTGACCAGGAGCTGAACTCCGCGCACTCACCTATGCGAGTTGCGTGTCCCAAACCACCTCGTGCCGCTCGGCAACAGTAAACGAGGAAGTGATAAAACTCAAGTCTGACTTGTAAAAGAAATAGGCACACGTTCTCAATGGGTTATCACCTGGTTAAATAAAGGACAATAGCCCAATGGCAAGAGAAATGGCAGGCAGGTGTGTGAACAGCAAGATAGCGTTTGACGTTCAATGAAGGTAAATAAGAGGACATCTATCGGTTGCTAGCAGACGGACGAACTTGAGGGGGGGGGTGGGCAGGGAGGGACGAGAGCGTACCAACATAGCGTTCCACGTCGGACACCGTGAACGAAGGGGGTGGCACAGTCATGCCAAGTCCATCCTTCTTGCTCACAATGATGGGCGACGTGAATCCGTTCTCGATGATGTAGTCCGCCGTCAGCTGGCTCCCCGGCATCCTCCGCACCACCTCCTCGGCGCTGCATAAAAGCAATTGCGGCAACCGCGCAGGGAAATTATCACCGCAATTGGCAATGGCACGGGGATCCGCAGCAGATCACCAAAATCGGCAACGGTGACTGCTACTTTCACCAAGACCATCGCACATCGGTGTTCAGCACTTGCGGTAAGCCAGGTTTCCAGTTGGCTGTCGACAGGTAATCATAATTAGGAGCTACATCACTCACCACAACCGTTAAAATGGTTTTAACCAGTATTTTTCATCATCACTACTACCCTCACCACTACCACTATTACCATAACAATCATTACTACCACCACCACCATCACACTTACCATGACAAGCACCATCACACACCTGCAGCAATGACCTTCACCATTACCATGTTCGCCCTCACTATTATTCCACAGCTATCGCTGCAACAATTATCACCCCCTTTAATATTGCAATCCTATCGTGGACTCGATTTAACCCAAATTGGGACAAGACCTCTTGTGTATTCGTGTTCGTCCATTATGATCTAATGAACCATCTGTAATTAGCGCTCTACTGGAGGCAATTAGCACTTGCCGCTTGGAGCGCCGACGTCGCGCGGTCGTCAGAAGTGGCTACGCGGAATTCATTTCCCCTTTTAATTACGAGCGACGGCGCGCTCACCCATGATCCTAAGCTACTTTAACTAAACAAAAATTTACTCTTGATGGGATTGGGAGGTATTTTGGATTTGCGAGCCACCTTTGGATTAGTTCGTGTCTACTAACAAAACTCACAATTCACTCTCGTCATCACCGTCGCCAAAGCCAACACCACCACCAGTTTTAATTTACTCCCAGCTATTCCAACAAGTAGGCGTCACGGAGATTAACAGCGGCTGATTGGTACACTGCTTTAAACGCAAAAGCACGTCACCTTGCGACCTATTCGAACAGCAATTGGGTTTGAGTGCTAAAGCCACGCCGATTTAAAACTTCAACTGCTTTTCACCGGCTGAACAATGATCCAAGCCAAAAAAAATTCGACATGGTCTTTCAGCGATGTCGATTTGAAAACATTTTGAGATTCAGAAGTGGACGGGTAGCTCAAGGGTCACAGCACTGCGCTGGCACCAGAGATCCTAGGTACAAACCTGAGTTTCAGCTACAAGATTCTCAAGTGTAATGAGTTTCTGGTCTCTGCAATGTTTGCATAAAATAAACATTAATCATTCAATTCGATTATTTGCTTTATTTGGCATTTAACAGCAGTGAGCATTAAACAAATTACTCTTGATGGATATCCAACAAAACACATTGCATGGTGCATATGTAAGGCATGCCCCTCTAGTGCGGATAAAGAGGCCTACTGAAGTCAACTCTTCCTAGAGGACCCTTACCAGACAAAACGATATCTTGCTCACTGCGAGAATTTCAAATGGAATATTCATCCACTTGTGGCATGACACCGACACTATAAAATAACATATAATTGGTGGGGGGGGGGGGGGGGGGGGAAGCCAAAACGTATTTTACAGAATACGCTCATGTAAAATAACCCTTGTTCGTTTGGCAGTCGGTTGGTGAACGGGTCAAAGATTCATTAGCAAATGAAACCAAAAGTTGCTCAAACTGCCCTTGGCTCAATTCCATGCGTTAACTAGCAGAGACGGCACGTTTCAACGACGCAGAAATGTCAATGTGCTCCCCTTTCTCTCACTGAAATAAAGCCGAGGGTTGTCGGCAGAGCTGCAAATTTCGGCTGGAATATTGAATGTCTGCCGACTCATTAGCGCTGGGATCACCGCTCCCAGCCGCCTCCCACCACCCCCTACCACCACCTCCCCCAAGCCTCTCACCTGGGAAACGAGCGGCCCTGGAGCTTTTTAACGAAGACGGGCGTGCCGGTCTGCACAGGCTTCCCGGTGGCGCCGCCCTCAGTGTAGTCATGGCGGTGCCAATTCTTGCGCTTTTTCACTGCGAGCGCACACGCAAACACACGCACACAGACGGGGCATTGAAAGGGGGCGAAGGGAGAAAAAAAAAATTAAGACGTATTAAAAAAAAAACACAAGCAACAAAGAATTTATTTTTGTGGAAACTTGAATCGGCTCGGCTCGACTCGCCGAGGGGACAATTGTAAGAGCCCCCGTCGAGACCCGTGAATTTAAAAACCTCTCTAGGCAAATGTCACTCAACGCTTTACATTTTTTCAGATTTTTTAAAGCCCAAAAATATATCACCAGCATAATCAAGTGTGGGCAAATTACCCTAACGCCACCGTGGTGGGGGGGGGGGGGGGGGGGGGGGGGGCACTCCTGGCTCAGCACCATGGCTACAGCAAGAGATGCAACAGCACGGGGAGGACAATCTGCAGCTCATCGTAATTTCTATTGGTCTCGTTTTCCTGGGTTTAAAACCTAGATTCAAACCCTAGGATCTTAGCAGTGCCTCCCCAACTGACGATCTATCAAGAGACCCAAACTTAACACTTAAAATAACCCAAGTATAATGTGTCACCAAGCAATCACTAAACTGATAAAATCGTTACCAAAGCACACAGACTTGATGTTTACCTGCATTGTTACATTTGCTGTGTAATTGTCAGCATTTTTTACAACTATCAGCATGTAAAATTACTATTTTAGAAATATATTGCAATTTTCAGCCACTTTTACGCAATGCTCAAATTTCTTACAAGGAAACGTATCACAGTAAAGGTCTCAAACTTTAAAAACTAAACAAGCCGTTTCAAACATTGGCCACAACACTGGTAAGTAAAAAACAACCCTGCTATGAATTCAACCAACCGAACTACGGGAGGAAACCAAGCATCTCATTTTTCAACGTTGGTAGAACCGCCATGGGTGGCGGGTTCCACTGGGCTGTCTCTGTTAACGTGTTCACATGGGAGGTCATCATAGAACGATGTTTACAAAAGCTCCGTTTAAACCCAAAGGCCAGCGCGGTGGGCGTTCTCGTGGCGTTAGAGCAATTGTGCGTACATGGTAAAAATCCCACGGTGAAAGTCCAACGTAGGCAGGCTTGGTGGACAACTAAACGATTGCAATCGCTCATGGCAGACACGACATTGATCCAGCACTTTTCGAGGTGAAGTATTCTAGATCACACAGAATTGAGTGCCATTCCTCTCTTTGTGTCTCAGCGTAATATAGACCTCTCCACGCTGATTTGCGCAGTTTTCAGCTCGTTCCATTTTATTTTGTCAGTGTCCGTATTTCTGATCCGTCGTAGCAGGTAATAGGCAATGATTGAAAACTATTATTTAAAATTTAACGTTCCTTATCATTGCAAAGTTCAGTTTTACAATACTTGTATTTGGATAATGCACACATGATTCCTTGTAAAAAGGTTTCAGTTTTGTTGCCAGAAAAAAAGGGGAAAAACCCTATTATTATATTTTGATACTGGCAAAGGTCTAATAATATACACTCCAACCTGTTCGTATTTCTCTCTTTCATTTTGTTCTCAGTGCACCTTCAATAATTGCCCTTAGTACACATACTCCAACGTATTTTGCAGTTGTGTCCCTCCAACAAATGTCTCCATGCGTATAACTTGCTGTACTTTATTTTTGTTTTGTTCAAATATATCCTGTGCCAACTTTTGCAGCCTTACTTACAGAACGAATCAAGATGGTACAAACAAGACTGCATGTAGAGTACAGACATGAACAGGCAGTGGAAAACCAAGTATAAAGCACAGTATAAATGAAAGAGTGAAAATGAGGTGGTATAAACGAGACCAAGAGACATTACAAACGAGACAGAACGTACAGAGTAGGGACAAAACAAGGATGGAGACTAAATCTGTCAGTACAAATAAGATGGGACGGATCGTGCAAACGAAACAGTACAAGTCAGACAATACAAACGAGAGACAATAAATGACGTAACAAGCAACGAGACGGATTGTCCACATGTGAGACACAAAAGATGAGCCATACTGCACCAACAAGAAAGACACTAACACCAATGACACAACACAAGTGAGACAAAAGAACAACACGCTCTTGAATTGACTCATCCATCCAATGCATGACGATTCATCGAATCTCTGTCGGTGATGAGGTGGGGGGGGTGGCCGTGCGGTGAACCAAACCGCTCCACGTCTAGCGAACCACCCCGGGACATTGCCAAGCTCAACCGCGAATCTTAACCGTGGCGAGACGTGGAGGGAAGCAGAACAAGCAGACGAGTCGGCCGCCGCCGCCGCCACCGGGCGGACGTGCAGGCAGGCGCCGTCCGGCGCAACTTACTGAGCGAGCTCCCATGGGTCTTGGCGCAGTTAGGGCAGTGGTAGAGGTCGATGTCGACTGCCTGGTGCTCCTCCACCCCCACACAGCTGCCAGGGGGAAAGGAAGGAGGGGAAGACGGGGTGGGTGGGGGTAGAGGAGGTGGCCGGGTCGGGGTCCGGGCGAGAGGAAGTGGGCGGGAGAGGCAGGGCACGGAGAAGTGGGGGGGGGCGTCGGGTCGTGGGTGGAAGGAGTGGGAAGGGAGGGTCGGGTGGCACACACAACACACACACATTTGTTACTGAACATGTGGATTAGAAGGAAGTCGCAAGGACAGAAGGAAGGGCAGCGTGCAGACGCCGCCAACGCGCTGACACAAAGCGCGCTTAAATGTGGGACAGGAAATCTACGGGTCGGCCGTCGAGCGTCAGGGCGAGAAGTAGCAGCGCTTTCGCCGGCGCTGAAAATGCATTTTGCGGGGCCCTTTGTCTTTCCATTGTGAGTCGGCGTGAGCTCGCAGGATGCCTGAATCACTGGCAAGCGTCGCCATGGCGACTGCCAAAAACTCTCATCAACAAGGGTCGTGCATAAAAACTTTCCTTACGCGTGCCGATTGCATAATACCCACGGCCGGGAGACCACTACTCATGGGAACACACGAGAGCAGAAGGGGGACTCCCCCCCCCCCTCCCACACTACCTCGACAGAATGAGAACGTAGGAATCTCTCAAACACAAAGATTCCCTGTGCAGCCCCAAGACTGTGGTGTTACCAAGCGCATATGAAGGCCTGAATAACGCACGAGCGGTGTTGTGGCCAACACCATCCCCAACCACCTTTATCTCACCACGTTGTTATTTAAGGTTAAGATCATTTATGGGAGGTCCAGGACCAGATCACACATTCACCCCTTATATTAGCCGTGGTTGGGACTCGACCTCCTGAGAAAACCAAACACAAAAACCACCAACCTTTGCAAAGACACCGATAACCACTAAGTGGTGGTGACGTCACAATGGTGCCTGTGCCAGGCTAGGTGCACAGGTCACTTTGATTGGCGCCCATAGTTTGCCAGAAGGTTATAGGGACAGGCCCAGGTGTAACTAAAATGGTCAGGTTACCATTCACAGAGTTGAGGTCAATGGGCTTCACAAGAAAAAAAACTGACTGACTCACCTCTTTCATTATTAACAATGCCTTATATGATGATATAAGTGGGCTAACGTTTCAGGCAACGACCCTTTTTCCAAGCACCACAAGTACAGCACTGCCAATGCGGTCTGTTAATTTTTCATTTGAACTTGAGACCCACATGTTATGGGTTAACAGAGCAGGGTAACTGGCAGCTCCTGTTTTGTGGAAACAAAGACGGAGATCCATCGTTTAAGCTTACAAGGGGGAGGCGGGCTGTTCAAGAGCACCTAACCTTTGTCTCCCCAGTGGCGATGTTTACACAGCGCACCAGGTACTCATTTAAGGCTGAGTCTATAGAGGAGGCTCAGGACTGGTTCAAATCATTGTCATTGGTGTTGGTCGCGAGAGTTTGTAGCGCAGTGCTCTAACCGTTGCACTACCGCTCCCAAGACTCGCAACATTTCACTCAGATAAATTCACTCAGACAGTAACTGACACACACACACAAGATGAAAAATAATGTCCCACGATCACACACCGTCACAAGCACATTTTCACATCCACACACTCCGTGACACACACACACAATCACAGTGTCACATGCACAGTCGCACGTCGAGGTCACACTGGGATGCTTTAACCGCGCATTGTGCGTTGTGACATTTTTCGCGGTGCGAGTCACTCGACTCGCGGTCAAAACCCACGCGCGTGCGCGGGACAAGCCCCCTTTTTCTCTTTCGCCATCCTCCCGGTCGCGTGAAAGGAAAGCACTCGCGTGCGTAATAAGGGGGCATGGCGGTGATACATATATATTAATACGTATTCATCATCGCTTGCTGCCTATCAACGTCGTTCTGATGACGACGATCCGCGAGGGAAGAGGCTAAGGAAGAAAAGGAGAGGTGTGGGGGGTGGGGGCTTTTGGCTGAACGCCCCCCCCCCCGCTGCCACGCACGACACAACCCGAGAAAGTAAACATCGCCAGCTTTGTCGTGCAATACGCGGCTACCGTCAACGGCCGGGGACGCGAGCAGGCAGAGCGAGGGAGAGATGAACACGAGACGAGGCACAGGAAGTGCAGGGACGGATGAACAAGAGAGGAGGTAGATGGAGATAGGAGGTTGAGGGACGGACGAAGGGAGGAGGTAAGAGGAAGGAGAGAACGAGGGAGAAGCTACAGGGAGATACGAGGAAGAGGGAGAGATGAAGAGATTAGGTGGAAGATGAGGAGGGTGAGATTAACAGAGGGGGTATGAGGATGGATGAAGAGGCAGTAACAGGAAGAGGGAGGAAAGAGGAGAGGAGGTGGAGGAAGAGGGGGGGACGCAGACACAGAAAATGAGGTGGGCGAGGAGGAATTATAAGAGGGAAAAATAGGAGATAATAGAGGAACGGTATAAGAAAAGTGCATGAGACATTGATGGGAAGGGGGTAGAGGATGAGGAGAGGAAACGAAGTGGATGAGAAGATGTAGAGGAGGAGCAATAGGAGAGAACAGGGAGGAGAAACGGCAATGGAAGTCTGTATTGTGCCTTGACGCAAGGAGAAAGACGACAAAAGAGGTGGGATGAAGGTAGAATTAATTATGTTAGATGAGGCGAATAACTACGAAGAGGTAATACTGTTGAGAAAGAGGGTGAGCACATGAACGATGAGGAATGAGGATGTGAACGATGAGGAATGAGGATGTGAATAAGGATGTAAAATACGAATAGGGATATGAATGAAGTTGAATATGAAGGCATGAATGAGAAATTGAAATGATGAAGTGAATGAGATGGCGGTGCAGGATGTTATCTATGAATATGATAAAGTAGATGACGATGTAATAAATAATGATTTTTTTTTTTACACAATTTGATTGGAGATCAGTGAATGATGATGTCGTTCAATAACATGATCGCAGATGATGTGCATGTGGAGTTCACGATGATGTGGAGGACATGAATACGAATGATGGCTATGGATGAAGGCCGGGAATTATGACTTGAATACTAATAATGAGGGTGTCAACGATTAAGATGAGGATATTCATTACATCAACAATCATGTAAATTGTGTTATGTAAATGTTGATGATCTAAATGATAACGTAAGATATTGACAGGGATGTATATCATTATGCTGTGAATGATATAACGAGGATGCGAATGACAACAATAATGTTGAATAACTACGTTGTAAATTATGAGGATGTTAAAAGATTTGAACACGGATGTGAACGGTGATTACGATTAGGATGATAATCACGACGTCGATGAAGACAATACTGGAAACAATGTGAACGTGACGATGTGGATTATGCGAATGACGATTATGTAAATGCCGTGAATGATCTGGACCATGACGACGTGGAGCGACGAGGACAAATGACGACGCGAACGACGAGGGCCGTGGATTGTGGCTCACGAGGACGCCAACGATGTGGTCCGGATGACGATTTTGTGAAGCGGTGGGAATAATGGGAGCGACGCTGACGACATGCATTATGCGATTGAAGGTAAATGCCGCGAACAGTCGATGCGAACCGCGGGCGTTGCGAAACGTCGCGTAATTACGCGAATGATAACGATGCCACCGATTGAGGGCGAAATGATGCGAGCGCGACGCTACGAGCTTGGTAAGGAATGACAATGAAGAGGTGTGTACAACAAAAAACGATGATGACGGCGGCGACTTAACAGGCGGCGCGTGGTTAGGCACCACGGGCCGCCATGGACACTTTTAAGTCACACACGCACACCCACCGCTCCGGCCTCCATCCCTCCCCTCCATCCCCCAACCACATCGACGACACTGTCCCCCCCCCCCTCACGGCACACACCGGCGGGCACTCAACGCGCACACTCACAAAACAATCTCCTCCTCCTCTCTCGCTCTTCCAGAAACCGCCCCCGAACAATACACACAACCGTTCCCTGTGCCAGCGGCGAAAGTTACAGGGAGGACGATGAGAGGGGGAATGATGGGTGGGTGGGTGGTGGAAGAGCTTGAATGTGCAGTTATGGAAATATAAAAAAAACGAAAAGGTTACGGCCAAAAAGGCACCGCCGGCTGATTCAGGAGGCGATCCCTTTAAACGTCTTTTGTTTTGATCGACGGCTGCGCGGCTGCGTCCCCCCCCCCCATGTCATTTTACGAGTTGGCTGCTCGCCCGGAAAGACCACTATTTTTTCCCTCCTCCTCGTCCTCCTCTTCTCGTAGTCTCTCCACGAGAACGAGTCACTCACGAATTTACTTGGCTGTAAACTCGGTCACCCTGACCCCCCCCCCTACCCAACGCCTTTAACTCCTCCACCGGGCCCAGCACTGACTACGATCTCAGTTGACCGGGGGTATCAAGACAGCAGCGCCGACGAAATACAGATACGGAGGGTGATACTAGGGTGGCAGCGCGAGAGATATGGAGACAGGAACGACGAAGCGACAGAGATGGGGAGACGGGGAAATACTTGGCGAGAAGAAACGTGGGGGTGAGAGACGCAGCGAGAGACGTGGGGAGAGAACGAAGCGAGATGGGGAGACGGATCGAAACGAGACGGAGACAGATCGAAACGAGGCGGAGACAGATCGAAACGAGACGGAGACAGATCGAAACGAGACGGAGACCGGGGGAGACACGGCGCGAGAGACGGTAATACAGATCGAAAGGGGGAGACAAAAACAACGCAGGGGAGACAACGTAACACGGAGCGAGATCGACGAGGGAAACCCTGACGCACAAGTCAACCCGGTTCACTCGCTCCCCGAATCAACAACCACCGCATCGAAACAACTGCTTACAACCCACAGCCAAAAGAACTAGCGCTACCGAGCCAGCTCGCTCTCCATCACCAAACCAACAACACCGCTCCGACCACCGACACACTACATAGCCATCAACAAGCCAGCCGAATCGCTCACGATCCCCTTCTCGCAAACCACTCCGCCATCTGACACCACCGCAACCACCACAGCTACCGGCCGCCGCCAGCGAACAACGCCGAGGACAAGAGCCCCCCCCCATCCCCCACCACCACAACACGGACGCAGCCGGACACGAGACACCGAGGCGAACGAACCCACGAGAGCCGAAACAACAATAAAAGGAGGGCCGCCCGCACCTGCCGTGGAACCAGTCCTTGCACACGTCGCACTCGATCATGAAGCGGGTCACGTCATAGGGCAGGCGGCACACGCAGTACACGGCCGCCATGTCGCGGGCCGCTCGCTTCGCGTCGCCCACCACCACCACCGCCGCCGCCGCCTCCTCGTCCTCAGCCGCCGCCGCCAGCGCTGCCACCGCCGCGTCCCCCCTCTCGTCCGTCCGCCTCCCTCCCCTGAGCGCCTCTGTCTCGCCGCCTCCACATTCCCTACAGTTAACGCGCGCGGCTAGCCCGCCTCGGCCAATGGGCGGCGACGGTGCGGCCACCACGTGCGCGTCGACGGTCAATCGCGCGAGACGCCGCGCGCGTGCGGCGTGGGAAATGTGATGGCGGGGCGGGCCCAGTGGCGCGCGTTTCGCCGGCCGCCTCATTCGCGCTTCTCTTTATGACCGCGCGGCGCACGCATCTCGACGTCTCTCGCGGGGCAACGAAGCCAAATAAAAATGCCCGGGGGCCACCGCCATCGTGCCGCGGGGCCACCCGACGCTGGTGGACGCCGCGGAAGCTTAGATTTTGGCTCCTTATTATTCGTATTTTCTATCGCGAATATTCACTGTCGAAGGTGAACGCTAACGGCCGTGTTCGCCCGCTGCAGATTCGCAAAGCCGGGGGCGGCTGGCCCGGTGACGTCATTGTCGTGTGTTTAAAGCCCCCCCCCATACCCCCCCCCCTCTCAGCCCCTCCCCATGTCACCCACGCCAGTTCAGACTGGGCTCGGAAATTCCTGGCAGGATATGACCACGCGTCGGCATAACGTGACCAGCGGCGTCGGCTGGGTTTAACAAGTTAATCACACGGGCCAGCTAATAAATTAATTAATTGGCGGGCTCTTAATCGACACTGGGAAATAGAGGCGAACCCCCGTGCCCTTTGCGGGTCGCGAAACGTGGTAAATTTACGCTAAATGCCAGATCCGGGAACGACGCGGTGGACAGAGAGAGACTTTGGCCGGTCACTCGCGTTCTTGGAACCGTGACAATATTTACCGGCCGTAGAACGAATCATTTGATGTAAATCGTACATTACCGAATTCCCCTGATTACATCGCACCGAAAAGAAAACCTTGTGCCGTATGTCAATGAAGTTATGCACGCCTTGTCACGTACACAACACACACACACCTCGCTACTTGATTGCGACACCCACTACACTTTTACTTTTTAACGTACAAGGGATAGGGGAAAGTGCGTCATAATCCAGAGAACACGGTATCATTTATACAAATTCATAAAACGCAAATTCAGGTTGCCCGTTGTGTTCCGATTCACAGAGGGTGGCAAATTGATCTGAACATGACAATTGGATCTGTTCACTCCTGCCCACCTCCCGTAATAAACACCAACTCACACTGACCAGGGCACGGTGAAGCATGGTCAAACAACCCCCACGACCAACACGGCGTGAGGAAGGCCTTAATCCAATAATGTGTTTACCACGGGGCTTCAGATTATACGTTAGACATTCAACGCCGAAGCACCCTTCGGCTTACAAAACTAACTTGACAAGAGCAAACAAGCTTTAAAATGCGACACACAAACAAGACCAAAAAGAATAAACTCTCGAATATAATCGCGTCAATTACAACGAATCACGGCGACTGAAGGGATATATTTTTTCAAACTCGTGTCGGACAGCCCAGAACACACAACCTAAACAGAGCGTACGTGTACACGATAAGAGAGAGATCGAGATACGATGTGTATCTTACTTTAACCCAGGGGTTCAGTGATAACTTATTTGTTTAATTATCATTTAAGTCGCTGCCCAATTCACGCGCCTGATGACTCTCAAGCAGGTAATACAGTCCGTAGTGTGGAGCGCGGAGTGTAATTTGAATCGGCGTGTGTGGTAACAAAGACATGCACGCGCACACCAGTTATGAATGACTTGATACGAATGACTGGGCCATAAACATCTGCCAGTACACGAGCATAGGTTCAAATGAGCCCGACTGCTGATGAGACAGCGGTTCAGAGTTTGCATCGAACTGCTGCTGATAAAATGATACACTCCTACAAGGGCATTCGGCTGATAGGATGTATAAAAACACTTTTATTTTTACGTGTAAAGATAGATTATGTGGTGTATTATCCGCGTGTTAATATTGAACAAATGTTTAACAATCATCAGGCACGTCCGACATGAAACACCTTTATATCGGAACGTGACAAATGGCGAAAGCGGAAAGGCATACAGTAGAGTAATGGGTCACGATGAATAGTTTGGGAAAGCCTGCTTTTACCGATCTCAAGGGTTGTTTTTTCCCACCCTTCCTTAAAGCGGCAGCGCAAATTAAGGAAACATTAGAACATCTGAGATTTCACGTTGAACCCTGACCCAACCCCCAGCCGGCCTCTCTCAACTCGCGTCGATCCTGAAGGAGCAATTTAGGAAAACAATGCGAAGACCGAGCCCATCCCTGTGCAAACAGCGACAAAGCCTAATCTGCCCGGGGGACATGGTTTGCTGGTCTTTAGTCTGGCCGGTTCTGTCTATAATAACCCCAACCTGTCCGTCTTGTTCTAAGAAGAATTACACGCTCTTTTGATAGATACTAGGTTAAGGGATCGCGCGTAGGCAATTTTGCGTAATCATATTCGTTATCGGCCATTACCTGTACAATGCTGGGTGATTAAGGCCTTCCACCAAATCACCATCGCCCCTGACGGTGACACATCAAGCCTTCTTCTCGCTCCTGCACACGAGCTCATTTCATCGCCGCTTTACCTTGCACATTTTCACTGACGCCACGCGTTCCTCTTCTCACCTCTCAGTGCAATTCCAAGCATGCACTTGTCCATGCTTCTAACTGCATTTCTCAGCTTTTGTTCCATGTTTTGTTCATGTCCATGATTTTGATCCACGGGATAGCAGGTAATATGCACCGATTAAATACGAGACTTCAACCGAAGCCAGAAGCCATCACCAACGATGTTTCTGTAATGCAGTGAATGGGGCCTTCCGTGTTCGTGAAGAGCCCTTGCCTCTAACACCAGGCTTCCAGGCGGCATTTGTTAAGCGGGTCACACTGCTGATGGGAAGCAGAAGGTCAAATCCAGTCCAGAATTTGCCTGCTTAAACAAATCCTGTTGGAATATCGGTCTAGAAACCCCATACGCTGATTAATGGAACTCATGTTGTTTTATTTATTGTGGTGAAACAGACTCTGGTCTGTTTATGTAATTTGTGTCATTATAGTCCAGCCGTGCCTGATTAAAGGCAAAGTTTATCTTATATTCCAATCCAGTCTGTTTATAATAAGACCCTGCCTGTATTGTAATGGCACAACCGAGCATTATTATATTCTAAAAGAATCAACACTCCACCTATTGTGTTCCAGCCATGCCTTATTATACAACTGAACATCATTATCAGTCAGATCCTGCCTTGCCCAAGTCCAATTAAACATTATATTCTAACGATGTCTTGTTAAAGTAAAAACACATATTTCTTTAGTCTAACAACCTCGATTGAAAGCCAAACGTATTTACTGTATTGGCCATCAGAGCACGAAGACATCTGTATCTTCAATAAGAAGGGGAAATCATTCCACTGACATGAATATAAAAAAACTCATTCAAGTATTAAGTAGATGCAAATATACATCCTGATCATTATTGGGGGAAAAACTGTTAAAAAGGTATACATTTTGTTGTATCCATCCTAATTGAGTTTCTAAAATTTTACACGGCACAAATTTTAGTAGAAGAAAACATTAAAAACCCAGTGTGGGACAAATGCTCGGGGTCGGTAATTTCCTTCACCGACGACGCAGCGACACCCGTGACAGAAAGACCAAACAAAAACACAGATCAATACAATTCCACACCCCTCTTCTCTAACGCTGCAATCGATCTGCAATCGTTGCCGGTGCATCGCCGCTCTTGCATCGGATCGCCACTTTTCAAAATTCCTGACACCGACAAACATCAGTCCTCTTAATATGAAAATCGATTCACAGCTGAAGAAGTCGTCACTGCATAACACATTTGTTAATGTTGCACCACTTTGCTTTTATCATTACAGCACCTTCCTTTATTTGTCTGGCTCTCGGGGCCACCTTTGCACGATGCACATCAATCACAAGAAAATTGGTTAATGACCCAACATTAGCATACATTTAATTAGGACATTTCAGAAGGCGTGAAGTGTGGCCAACAGGGGTCCATTCTTCATAGGTCTGGTTCAAAAGGCCACTCGATTGTAAATAGCTCTTCGATTTGCTTGTTGGGGTTGTACTGCATGTTGTTGGGCATGATGCCCGATGTTTCGCTGCATTTGTCGGAAGCGTCTTTAGTCAGTTCAAGTAATATCAGCTTGACCTTGATTATCAGTAGAAGCAGCATTAACAGCAACATCATAATCAACAGCATCAATATGTTAATCAGATTAACTTTCATTCTGTTCCCAAAGCAACTCCAAAAACGTGCAGCCAAACGTGAGATATCTCGTTGGACAATGTGGTAGAAACCAAACACAGATCGGAGAGGCATACGGCACAACTGCGAATACCTAAACAGTGGTGGTCTTAAATTTCGATTTAAAGCTTTCGTGACTGCAGGGATTCATCTTCTTGGTTCTTTCGGTAAAGTCATGTAGAATGGAAATAATAAAATAATAAAAATAAAACATAATAAAATACTTTTCACGACGTTTCGGCGTGAGAATTATTAAATTATGTTGTATTATTTTATTATTTCCATTCTACGTGACTTTACCGAAAGAACCAAGAAGAAAAAAAAAGTGGTGGTGTTAATTACCGTAATGTTATTGAGTTTTGGGGCCGTGCAAATTTACAGTGGTATAAATTCGACAATCTTGGGGCGAAGTCCTGTCCTTTCCTTAATGCAAACGCTCTTGACCTCACAACAAGTGATGCAACCTCACCAGGTGGTGCTCACTTTAACGACTTTGAGGAAGCAGTAATGACAGGCCAGATGGACCCCGATTTTTATTTGAATTTGGGCCCTTGCAAAATTATCTACCCTGGCTATTAATACGTGGGGATTTCATCGGATATTTCACTCCATGCACTTTTAGACGAAAAAAACTAATTGGGTCAGTTGGTTTAACACAACTACCATGGCTACTTTTACCATAAACTTCACTCATGTATTCCTCCACCACACTGTTTAATCTCATCCACACTTTGTTCAACCACCACACTTGCAGGCCACAATACGTGAATTTCTGCTTCACCCCCCACACTGGCTTGACTAAGGCAACCCCTTCAATTGTATCTTTTCCCAAGCTCTACAACGATGTTTAATTAATTAAGCACGTTAACACTTATCGACTGAAAACTGATGGTTCTATTGATGGCCGCTTTACATTTTGGTACTTTGGGCCTGACTGAACAACTGTGTTTAAAACAATAAATAAGCTTGTTTTTCTCAAATAGAGTAAGTGTTGTTAATTCATGTAAAGGGGGTGTAGGAAATCAATGGCACCCATAAAAAATACACCTCTCTGAAATATTTACCCAACAGGATATTATTGACCTTCTTCTTGGTTCTTTCGGTAAAGCAGCCGTCCGCTTGCGGTGTGGCCGAAACATCGTGAGAATTATTTAATTAT